CTGTGCCCGAGAGACACATACACCTGTTTACCATGGTGACAACTGATATTTAAGATGAGGAAGCACAATGAATGGGTCATGAAAGGAGGCCATGAAACGTCAGGAACACCCTAACATGTCTGGGGACCGACTGTTTACCAGTTCAAGTTGAAATGATAGAAACTCAAAGCAGCTAAAAATGAGGATTTGTAGACACCGGTTTTGTAATTATTTAGCTATGATAGCTACTCTTCACCATTTTTGCTTGTCTCTTTTACATTTAAGCAGCTTCCATAAGGTCTTTACATATGGGACACTGTAATTTTCCTATTGGATAGTACTAAAAGTGGCATTAAAAGATTATACGGTATTTTAGCTTTGCACTGTGAAACAAAGAGGTGAGGAATACTTGCCTCAATCAGTGCTCATTAATTTAGCACCAAAACATTTACTTTCTAGAAAATAAAGTAAAAGATAAGTCCAAACCCATGCTTCAAATATGCCAGTAAATGTTTTTACTTTCTATAGTATTTCATAATGATAGAAATATTCTTAGAATGCATTTTCTTTGCTCATATAATTGTACCTTCCTTGGTGTAAATGTCCCAAATGAATGTCTATTATTCTATAGAACCAGTTCAATCCTAAGAAACAAGGATGTTTATATGAAGAAAAGAATAATTAAATAAAGTTACATTAACTTCGTATCACAATACATATCTTCACCAGAAATTACTAACAGGTATATGAAGAAGCCAAAATTTTGCAAACACAACTCCTTAGTGGGAGTCATGCAGATATTGTGAGTTTATGTAAGTGTATGTTTAGTGGCTACCTTGTTTCAGCACAGGTTTAGGGGATACAGCAGTGAACAAAGCAAATCTAACGTGACAGTTAAAAGGAGCTTTTGATGCTAATAGTAGAGCATAGACATAATAGTGGCTGCAACAGAGCAATCTTAGTTTCAAAATAAATTTATGAAATATGAAAAAAAATACTTTAGCACCAAAAACCTTTACTTTCACTTTTATGAATTAGGCAATGATGACTTTACTGAAGACAGGAAGTGGCTCAAAAGAATTTTCTTTTTCACATCATAAAAAGTGCAAGCTTTAGAGCTGAGAGCCTGGGGAATTCAGGTGGCAACCAAGAAAGACAAGGACATTTTCTCCAAAGTTTCCAAATTGTCTCCTTCAGTCTGTCATATTCCAGATAGGAGTGCCAACTAAATTCATTGCTAGCCCTCAGCCTGTATCATAAGCAAATAAAAAAAGTAGAAATGAGAAAAATATGCATTGGGCCTTAAGTACAAAGGAAGTGGCTGTAAAAGGATGATTGCTTGAGGGCTAGATGAAATAAAAATCCAGGTCTCTAGAATGCTTCAAATGCTCTACAAGGTGCAGAAGATATTTTGTTATTATGAAGAGGAGATGCTCATGTCATAGGAAAATAAACTTCAGGAAATTGAACTTCAAAGAAGCCGTTGCTTCAGTCGTCACAATGGGATTCTGCAGATTTAAAGGAATGGTGCCCCCGTGTGGTTTTTTAAAACAAGGTTTCAGAAATTGTTCAGCGTTGTCTCACAAGTCACACTTGTTATACCATGAAACCATGCATTTTTCTGGTGTGTATCTTTTGTTTACATTTGTTTTCAAATGTGACTATAGTTGTGCCCAGGGCATTGTAAAAAAAAATGTAAGTACACGCAATGAGCTGTGTTTACAGCAGGAAGTATTGCTCCATCCATCTCCGTGGTCAGTAAAGCGGACAGCATGGGGGGAACAGCTGCTGACACAGATGCAGCTGGCGCCCCGGGAGGGCCCAGGGCCAGGGCTGCCATGGGCCTCTGCTCTAGCGCCCAGGGAGACTCCTGGGAGCTCTCAGAAGCCAACTTCCACATCTACCCTCCTCCCTGCAATGGATCCAAGAGCTCTGCTTTCTCCTGCTGTTGTGAGCAAACTGTCCAAGCTCCCTGTGAGACCATCCGCTCAGTGATGCACTGGGTGTGACTCAAGGACTGGGCTCAGCAATTCTCTTTCTTATTTTGTACATCATCCTTTTCCCCATTCCACTTTTTCCTTTCCTGTTTCCCCACCAGCATCAACATATAAATATGCTATCATTAAAAAAAAACCCTTTCTTGGCCCCACTTCTTCCTCCAATTAGCTCCCCATTTCTCCACTCCCTCCTTGAAAGGGTTGCCGGCATTAACTGACTCCAATTTCGATCTTCCCATTCACTCTTGAACCTATTCCAATAAAACTTCTTCTGCCCACTGCTCTGCCAGAACTGGTCATACTGAGGTCATCAGTGTCTCCATAGTTAAATCCATCGGTGAATTTCAGATACCTCTAACTTGATCGTTGACAGCATTAGACTGAATCATCATTACTTTTTCCTTGGACCCCTTTCTTTCATTGGCTTTCAGGCATCTTCTTCTACTTTTCTGGCCACTCCTTAGTCTCTTCTGTTGATCCTCATCTCCCCAACCTCTAAACCAGTGGTCTTCAACCCTAGCTTCACCCCGGAAGTTTTTATTTTTTAAAGGGACAGGTGCCAGAGCTTATTCCAGTGACTGATTTAACTCAGTCAGGGAGGATCCCTGGCAAGGGTGGGCTATTAGATGGCCCCAAGTGAGTCTGATGTTTATCCAGGATTGAGGATCCCTGCTCTAAATGCTGGAACGCCCCATGGCTCAGTTCCCAGCCCTCTTCTCTTTCTGTCTAACTCACTCTCTCAGTGATGTCATCATCCAGTCTTGTGGCTTTAAAAACCTCTTACAAGATGATGTCTTAGTTTGTGTTTATCTGACAGCAGAGCCTGAATCAAGGACTTGGGTGCAAGGAGTTATTTTGAAAGTGATTTCATTAAATAGAGGGCAGGGACTGGAGAGAATAAGAGAGAGGATGAAGAAAAACCAGTGAAATGCGTGTTTTCAGGGTCACTGTTATGGGCAACAGGGGCTTGATTCTGCCGGCTCTCCTGAGAAGGGTACAGAACCTCCCTCCCCAGGATACCAAAGCATTTACCCACTTGCTTCACTTCCCATTGGTGGAGGACTTCCCCAGAGGCATTAACTCCCTTGCACTTCTGAGCTGCAGTGAGCTTCAGAGATGGCCAGGCACAGAAAGGGAAAGACACAGTTTGTACTTGAGGTGAGTCTGAGCTCACAGTCCCCTGCCTAGTGCAGCTGTGGTAGATATCAAAAGTGGACCAACTGATACCCAAGGCAGGTGTTACAGCTGATGCCTCCAAACTGTATATATCTGGCCCTAACCTTCCCTCTAAACTCCAGACTCACATACTGACTTGGATTTTTAATAGATATCTCAAAGTAACATGTCCAAAACAAAGTCCCTGATCTGCTCCCTTCCCACACCATTCTTCCAGCAGCTCAGGCCCAAGACCTTCAGTCATCCTTGGCAACGTTTTTACACTCCTTACATTCAATCCATCAGCAAATTCTATTGACTCTACCTTCAAAACATAGTGGAAAGGAGAGTCACTACGTTGGTTCAAGCCATCATCATCTCTTGCCCAAGTTTTTTGCTATAACCTCCTGACTGTGTCTCTGCTTCCAGCCTCTCTTTTCTTTTAAACCGACTCTCAGCTCTGCAGCCAAAATGTAAGAAAGACTAAGTAACTCCCCTGCTCCAAACCACCCAATGGCTTCCCTTCTCACCTGGAGTAAAAGTCAGGGCATGACATGACTTGGCCCCCTATGACCTCTTAGATCACATCTGCTGCTGATCCTTTTTGCTCCTCAAACATTCCACGGATGATTCTGCCTCAGGGACTTTGCACTTGCTGTAGGAACACTCTTTTCCCACTTAGCCACTAGCCTCCCTCTCTCATCCCCTTCGGGTCTCTACTTAAATGTCATCTTCTTACTGAGGTCTTTTCCTGTCAACCCTATTTAAAATTGCAACTCTTTTCTGATCTTACTTCATTTTTTCTTCTTGACACATATCATATTCTAACATAGTATGTGTTTTTCTTATTTATCTTGTTTGTTTTCAGTCTCTCCTATTAGAACTTAAACTCCATGAGGACAGGAATTTTGCTCCGTTTTGCTCACTCACTGCTGGTCTCCAGTAGGTACTCAATAAACAGAAGTTCAATGCATGAATGAGAAGACTGATCATTATAATTATTAATGTTTATTGTGCATTTTCCATATACCAAGCACTCTAACGCACTTTCATGCATTACCTCATTTAAGCCTCACACCCTAAGAGCTACGTTCTGTTATTACCTCCATGTATGCAGAGACTATTGATTAAATTGCCAACGTTATACGATTACTAAACAGCTCAGATATAAACCCACATATATCTCTTCCCAAAGTGTAGACTCTTAAGCACTAGAAAATACTGAGGCTAACTTGCTAATCTCCAAGATTAACCACTTCTCCAGATCTTTAGGGGGACAAATGCCACTCTGGCTATGATGCCAGGGTAGATGAACTCACAGCGGGAAAGGAGAGTCTAATCAGTGACTTGGAAGCCATAGAAGGAATAGAGTAGACTATCACAAGGGGGAGGGCAGAGATGAGGCCAGTCCTCAGGAGGGCGACTCCATCCATGCCCCAGCATTCTTTCGGCAAATATCCACTAAGAGCCTCCCGCTGCTGGGCACAGTTCCTGACCTGGAAATTGGGTGGTGAACAAATCAGACCTTATCATGTAGTCGGGGGAACTGCAATGTGATGAATACATTTTAATACAAAATCTGGTACCACCACGTGGTGGTCAGAGAGAAGGGCTGCAATAAAGGGCTGTCTCCATCTCTCTTTAATTTTTATTAATTCTGAGCTCAGATCAAGCATAGAAACCTTCATAGTATAAAGGTCAGTTCCATCATTGCTCAACACTGATTAGCCTTTCATACACACACACCCCAGCCCACTCTCACTCACCCACCAACAGGTCCTGTTATCCACTGTCACCTTTACACACACACGCACACAGGCACACACCTTTGCCCAGACATAACCCCGTATTATTTTAAGTCAGTCTGCTTCTCAGACTACAGAGATCATGCATCAGGGAAACTAGAAGGTCACCTGATGTTCAGACCTGGCTATTTTCATCAACAATCCACTTCAGGAAGAGCAGATCTCAGAGAATGTCTCCTTTTTTGATGCTGGACCCCAGACAGCTCTCAAGCCCTACTCCTCCTTCCCCAACTCCTGACTCACGTCAGGTAAGGCTGGGAGGAAAGCTGTGTGCTGCCTCCTTCGGCTCTGGTAGGTCCTTCTTTGACTCTGGTAGGAAGGTCAAATGATGCACAGCCTAGCTCAACCCAAACCCCTCCCCACCATAGAACGAGCTGCCTCTTCTGCTCTTGAAGGCGCTTCAGCCCTGCTTGGGATCCTGCCCCGATCTTGCAGAGAGCCTCAATTCATGGGTAATAAATCTCCTCACACTTTCTTCCTGCACATGTGGCTACATCCATCTCAACATCAGAACTAAATTTTAGATCCTCCCTGCCCAACAGGTGCAACCACAAGACCTGGTTCATCTGACAGGACCTCAATGAGGTGACAGAACGAGGGAAGCACAGAGGAAGGTGTCGTCTGTAACCCCCTCCAAATGAAAAAAAATCATTCAGGACCCGGAATTCCAGGGATTCCAAAGGTGGATGTTAAACCAGAGGGTTACTGATTTGTTGGCTATTATTGTAACCTCCAGACCAGCAAAGGGTACAATGGAGAAAAGCTGTGTTACAAAGGTAAAGCTACCCAAGACACAAATGCAACACGAACAAGCATTTCACCATGGCCCAGACTCCCAGGGGCCCTGCACGAGTCAGTGCACATTCTCCTGACACCCAGTGACACCTCCTGCTTTACAACACAGACCAGCCCAGATCTCATCACTGCTCTCAGTCACCTAACTAGTTCTGGTGCAGCCCTCAGACAAACCACTCTTGAACCACACCTTTGAATAGTTAACTATGCAATTTCCAGATAATGATTCGATCTTTTCATCATCATTATGCAATATGTATAACCATATCATTTTTATCTGTCTTTCTGAGAAAGAAGCAGAAGAGAGTATTATTTGAATGTGTTCTCCTTGGCATCTGATCAAGCCTGAGACCAAATGAGCAATCTGTTGGTCAAAAATATTTCATGTGTAACCACGTGGTGAACAGCTTGCAGTGAGCATTGGGGGAGTCACAGGAAAAGCAGCAGTAGACGTGTATTTGGTGCTTAAAATCTAATAAGCAACAGGAAACTCATACAAATGGATATCAGTAAGAAAAGGACAAATATATCAACAAACATCAAGTGCTAGGGATGGAAAACAAAGGAGAGGTTTGTTCCAGAAGACTTCGTAGAGGATGGCACAATGCAGCTTTGAGAAGAAGAACCCATGTCGTTTGGGAGAGGGCATCCCATCCAGGAGAAACAGACCAGGGCTGAGAAGATGGACTGTACTGGTCACATGGACACCAAAGCAAGTATCGTGACAATGAGTAAAGAGGAAATCACAGAAAAGGGTGCACTAAGTAGAGAACCTTGAAGCCCAAATTCAAGATGCCTCATTTTCATTAGTGTCCTCTTTTTTTCTTTTTTTTTAGACACAGTACACAATCTTACGGTTACCGGGGGAAAGGGGTGGGAAGGGATAAATTTGGGAGTTTGAGATTCGCAAATGTTAGCCATTATATATAAAAATAGATTTAAAAAATTTCTTCTGTATAGCACAGGGAACTATATTCAATATCTTGTAATAATGAAAAAGAATATGAAAACGAATATATGTATGTATATGCATGACTGAGACACTGCTGTACACCAGAAATTGACACATTGTAACTGACTGTACGTCAACTGAAAAAAAAAAACCTCATATTCTTTCAACGGCGACTCCAAGAACTCTCACCTCCTGAGATTGAGGCTGCCTGCCATCAAATGAGGTCAGGAGGAAGGTTTACTCATGGTGCAGCCTCAGGTCTGGGAGGAAAACAAGGGAGCAACAAGGGCAGATGGAGTGACGCAGTCCCAGGGAAAGGGCGTAGAGGGGGATGAACAAAAGTTACCACCATGAGCTAACGGGATAATTAAAGATGAAGAAGTAACAATTTATTGAGAAACTCCCCAGCAGACAGAGAGGACCATAATGAAGGGAGACCAGCCACCCTGGTTTGCCTGGAACTGTCTTGGTTTTAGCACCTAACATGCTACCCTCGTCCTGGGACACCCCTCAGTCCCCAGGGTGACTGCTGGTCAGCCCACAAAGGACACTTCACTTTACCGGATCTGAGTGAGGATAAGGTATTACGATAATGAAGGGAGGACGGAGTAAGAGTCTGAAAGTGAATCATGACTTAACATGCAGTCCGTCACGTGTTACACAGGATGTGCAGCTTGGGTCCGGAGGAGGACATCCCAGAAACTGGAAACACAGGACACTGAGACTTCAAGACAGCACGCAGGAGACTGATTTCTTTTCCTCTGGAGCTCCCACTGTTGACAGGTGCTGTCATCTGTACTGCAGACCCCACAGCGGCCTCCCAACCTGGGTTTGCCCATGGCCATGGGACTGGCCAGGGGATGTTTCAGATGCCCAGGTCTGCTCATCTTTATCTTGCTTTCTTACCTCCCTGTCTGCCCCTCCCGGTGGCTCTTCACCCTCAGGTTTGAGTACTGAGAGCATCCAGGATGTGGGAACAGAGTCAGTGGAGACTCTGGGAAACCTTGAAGGGAGGCCTGGGGTTGATGACAGAGAACTAGGTCACAGGCAAAAAAAAAAAAAAAAAAAAGGAAAATGCTTTCATAACCACCCACCTTTGAAAAATGGGTATTTCCCTTGATTACTAAAAGTCTGCCCTTCTCTGTCAGCATCCAGCTCCTTAAAATGTAAACATCATGAAGATGATCTTGCAAAACCCAGGGGGTTAAAGCTTTGCTTTAACTAAGGTTCAAAATTAGGGGAAAGTAAACTTTCATATTCAGGCAAGAACAGAGTGCACCCTAGCCTAGATGACTCAAGCGTCTGACATTCAAGGTGGGGGAAATGTGGCACAGAAGGGAGAAGAAAAAAAGGAACGAAGGCACACAACCAAGTCTGATTTCTGACCTTCTGTTAAAACTGCCCAGCAGATGGTTTCAAAATATAGATCCAAAGACTGATAAAGCCGGAAGGAATCCTCTTCTCACGGGTCCAGTACCTTTGTTCCACAGATAAAAATGGGCCGAGGGAGGGAGAGGACATCCCAGGCCCCACAGCCAGCAAGGGGCAGAAGTCAGATCTCACATTTTCAGTTTAACCTTCTTCCCCTTAAAGCACATTGGACCAAATATATTTTGCAGCCCACAAAAGTCAACAACTGACTTGATAACTTGCAACTAATTTAATCCATCAACTATTGAAGGTGGCACATCTAACTAGTGGGTATGATTTTTAAGGATGCTGCTATGAACTACAAATTCCTTAAGCACAGCAAATAAACACTATGGTTTAACCATATATTACTGAGATGCTTTAATAAAACTTAGTTATTACTAGGGAATTCAAAAATCTAAATGCTTTTTCACTTAATGCATTTCCTCTTGCCAAAGATCTCAACTTACTTTTTATCTTGCTTTATATCTTTCTACCTTAAAAAAGTTTTTGGTATTTCTGCTGAAAGGTTAATAAGCAGGTAAAATAACAGTACTGGACTCATTGGCTTACCTGTATTAACTTGTTTAATCCCCATAACACTGTGAGCAGGGCCACTATTACCCCCCTTTACAGATGAAAAAACTGAGGCAACAAAATGTGGACAAGGCACACAGCTAGTTGGCAGCACCAAAATATGAACACCAGCAGTGTAATTCCAGAGTGTTACACTGGACAACTCTAAGTTCCATTACAACAAGCTCTAAGGGCCTGGTCTACCCTTTTGGTCATACTGGAATCTTCCCAAATAAACCACTCTTTGGACAAAATAAGTTTAGACATCTTCTAGGTATCTGTCAATTTTTCTTCCCTGGAATCAGTCCTATAGTCTCATTTCTTACGTGCAGTGAGAGCACTGACTACTGTGAGTAAATACCAGTGTTGCTAAAACGAGTTGCATGACCTTTGTTAACATAATCTCCCTAGAAAAATAAATAAATATAATGTACTTTTTTAACAGTCCCTTTGCATACACAGACTTAATTTATATCCACATATGTATTAATTTAATCTCTAAATGGCCTCAAGTCTTTCCCACATATTATCTAACACAGCTCTGAATTGCTTGAAGGAAGGGCTGTGTCTCCGGTTTATTTTATGTTTGACCTTCTTCATCCCTCCTTCTTCTCACTTACCCCTCTCTCCTCGCTCACCATAGCACAGTCTACAGTTCAATAAATGCTACAGACCAAAACTGTAGCCACATAAAGCCCTATAACTCCTGCTAAATATCAAGAGGAGTTTTGAGCCAAAAAGCATTTTAAAATAAGGATTGATTCAATGCATTTAGTAAATAGTCCAATTGCCACTGCCATTAAGTAAATGATACCAAGAGACATTCAAAAGACTAAAAAACCAGTGATCCTCCAAAAATATGTAATCTGGCTAATTTTAAAGGAAGAAAGGGCATGGAAGTCTACACTGCATGATACATTTATTAGGTTGTAAAATGTACTTTGAAACTGACTGATTTCAGTTTTAAAAGAGATATATTCAGTAAGTTTATTAACATTAGGAAATATTACATTCCCTCAGAAAGAATTATGCTCCTAGTGTTATAAGCAACCTTGTATTTCTTAACAGATGGATTTATGTTAAGACTCAAAGAGAAATGTCCAGCTAAAATGTCCATACCTTTAGCTTTATTTTATTTTTTTCCAGGTTCGCAAGCAAAGTCTGCCTAAATAAAAAAGGTTGATTAATATCTTGAAAAACTTAGGTAATTTGGGAAACATTTTTTACTAAACCGAAAACTAGCAAACTTAAAACTCATCAGGCTGATAAAACTAGAGTTTATTTAAAGAGGTTTCAAATTATTCTCATGTTTTACATATGATTGAATCTATTAAAATTCATTCAATAATCAATCGATAACTGATTTTGAACTTTGGATAATATAAAACCTGACACATGCAATGAATGTTT